GCAGCAACGAAGACCTAACGCGGCCAAAAATAAATTTACAAAAGGCACAAAAGGATATGATAAAGCGTATAACTCTTTCTCTTGTCTTCAAGTCCACTCCCAAGTACCACCACTGCTAAACATTCAAGTGTAGAGATTTTTCTTTTAATACAGATGGTAGCATGTATACACACTGCTTCACATCGTGCTTTTTCCACTGAACAGTGTATGTGGAAGACTGTTCCCTACTGGTTCTTTTTAATGGCTGCACAACAATTTATTTAACAGGGTCCTACTGATGGGCTTTTATGCTGTTTGTAACCTTTGGGTACACAAAGAATGCTGAGATGAATATCCTTGTATATAAGCTATTTCATACATGTGAAAACATAACTGTAGTATAAATTCCTAGGTGTGGAATTGCTGGGATAAAGGATAGGTGTATTTTATTTTATTTATTATAAATTTATTTTATTTATTTATTTTTGGCTGCATTGGGTCTTTGTTGCTCCAAGCGGGCTTTCTCTAGCTGCAGTGAGCAGCTACTCTTCGCTGCAGAGTGCGGGCTTCTCATTGTGGTGGCTTCCCATTGCAGAGCATGGGGTCCAGTAGTTTTGGCACACAGGCTCAGTAGTTGTGGCTTGTGGGCTCTAGAGCGCAGGCTCAGTAGTTGTGGCACATGGGCTCAGTAGTTGCGGTGCACAGGCTTAGCTGCTCCGTGGCATGTGGGATCTTCCCGGACCAGGGCTTGAACCTGTGTCCCCTGCACTGGCAGGCGGATTCTTAACCAGTGCGCCACCAGGGAAGCCCCTGTATTTTAAATTTAAAGAGTACTGGCAAATTGTGCTCTACAGAGGCTGTAATGTTCTTTCTTTTTTTTTTTTGGCCACTCCACATGGCTTACAGGATCTTTTTTTTTTTTTAAATAAATTTATTTATTTTACTTATTTATCATTTTTGGCTGCATTGGGTCTTTGTTGCTGTGCACGGGCTTTCTCTAGTTGCAGCGAGCGGGGGCTACTCTTTGTCACGGTCCACGGGCTTCTCATTGCAGTGGCTTCTCTTGTTGTGGAGCACGGGCTCTAGGCACGCGGGCTTCAGTAGTTGCGGCTCGCAGGCTCTAGAGCACAGGCTCAGTAGTTGTGGGGCAGGGGCTTAGTTGCTCCACGGCATATGGGATCTTCCTGGACCAGGGCTCGAACCCGTGTCCGCTGCATTGGCAGGCGGATTCTTAATCACTGCGCCACCAGGGAAGCCTGGCTTACGGGATCTTAGTTCCCCAACCAGGGACTGAACCCCGGCCCTGGCAGTGAAAGCACCAAGTCCTAACCACTGGACTGCCAGGGAATTCCCTAATTTTGATGGTTTAAAAATTCACCTCCTCTGTGCCAGGAGTTACAATTTTAGACCAATCCCAGCACTAGGAGAGGTCCTATAAAGAGTCTTGGAGATCATATTTTTCAGATTAGAGACAGAGCAATCCCACCCTGGTAGGACAGATCTGGGCACAGGCTACTGCCTGCCTGGCCAGGAAAAAGGGGACCATGGATCAGGCCCCTTGGCATGGATGGAGCCTCAACACCCCATCCTGGGGCCTGGAAGTCCTCGGGGCTCCTGGGAAGTGCTACTTACATTCTCCTGGGTGCCAAGATCTGGTTTGTGCCAGGTTTCAATTTTAATCAGAAAGTCTTCTTTCATGTATTCATTCTGGAAGGGGAAAAAAAATACCTTATAGTCACCAGGCTCAAAGTTGGAGAGTAACCATCCCCCCTACTTGCTCACGGGCAGTCGAGAGACTCCAGCCTCTGCCTTATAGTAACAGCTAACTGTACCAGGAGCCTACAGTACGCCGGGTGAGTGTTATCTCGTTCAATCCTCACCCCAGCCTGCGATGGCTGTAGTAATACCACCCTCGTCTTATAGTCAAGGAAAGTTACGTTCAAAGGCGTGAGGGGACTTGTCCAATGGCACAGAGATAACGACAGAGCTGGGCCTCAAACTCAGTTGTGTCCGGCTTCAAAATCCATGTATTTAATCCATGTATCTCTCCTATTTGCCTCATGCACAGGGCGTAACGGCTGACTGGCAGCGTGGGAAGAGCACGGGGAGACTTCCCAGCCAACCAAACGTGTTCCCCACCCGCGCCCGTTCTCCCCAGCCAACCTTTTGCTAATTTAACCCTTCATGCTAATTATCAGCCTCCTCCCTTAGTGCCTTTAAAAAGTTGGAACTACTCAAAGGAGGAAAACGTTAACCCCCTAACTCCTCAGTGGGAATTAGGTTCCCAGAAACTTCTTACATTTACCAGCAGGGACAAGGCACCTGGATGAGGATGCTGAAGGGTGGAGAGAAGGGGCACTGACAGAGGGGCTGGGCCTGGAAAAGAAACCTTGCTGATTTCTCAATTTTGCCAAGGGTCAGTGCTCACTGGGGTCAACAAACGCCCCAATGGGAAAGTCACAATCGGGTCAGCTGAACTGAAGCTTCTTGTACAACCCTGGGAAGGCCAAACCTGGGGCAAGCAGGGGACAGCCTTGCGACATTCTGTACACGTGAGACCTGGGGCTAGTATGCCACAGTCCTGACTGCTGCACCTACAAAGCCACCTGCCAATGTAGCTTCAAGCAAGAAGCCATTTTGCCAATTAACAAGTTCCTCATTAGGACGGAAAGGATTAAGCCTCAAAAGCTCCAAAAGTCACCCAAGAGAAAGAGAGGAATACCCAGGAGTCTCCGGGGCAGTTCCATTTTTATTTTTCCTTTTCTTATAAATCATCTACAGTTCCAACCCCCCTGAAAATACTTACTGTAATAACTGCTCCAAGGCAAGGACATGGAAAAAAGAAAGAAAAAGATTAATGAGGATAAATAAAATATCCACCCCTCACCCCCAGGGAGCACGGAAGAATTCTCCACTCCCTGGGGCACTCCAGTCACTCTCCAAGCCCCAGCGAGTACATCTGGTACCTCAAATACAGCAACTCTCAAGTTTCACTCATACAAAGTCCCCAGAGACCAAATATGGAATTTAATTAAAGCGATGCCACTACAGGCTCCTCAGGACTCTTCCCAGTTGGGCAAAGACAGGGAGCAGTTCTGATGAGCTGAAGCGCGGAGACCCGCTGCTCTGCCATCGGAGTGTCACCTGGTGTCCCCCCACCCCCACTTCCCGGGGCACAGAGCAGGGCACTGTAGGCCAGGCACTGTCTATCTGCCCTCTGCAGCCTTCCTCTCACTGTAACCAAACCTCTCACCCTCCACACTCCTGATCATTGTAATGAGACCCCCTCGGAAAGCACCGTTCAATTATTTATCAGAGAAAATGACTGCAGCTCTAATGTCACTGGGGAATAGACTAGCCTTCCTCCTGACCACAGCCCAGATCATTCTGTACCCTCTGACTTTGGCAGTTATCGCAATTTCAGATGGATGCCACACTGCCCCATCTGACAGTACATGGGGCTAACAGTCAAATTCCATAACTCTAAAACTGAAACTAAGGTTACCTCTGAGATCGAGATGAGGAGAATTTGAAATATAAGGGATAAGATCCACCCTGTATAGAAACAACCCAAGAGACTATCAGTAATTTCCCTGAATCCAACAAAAGATACTTGCAAGAAAGCACCAGATCAAGATTATAACTAAAAGGCTATTGAAATAACTGCCCTGTTATTAGTTTAACAAAAAAGGAAATGAAGGGTATAATATCCATCGAGGGCGAGTCCAAAGAGACCAGTTTGGCAGAAATTCTCCAGCATTGTTCTGGGAGCAAGAGCCCTGGGCTGTGTACGTGGCACATGTAGCAGCCCCATCCTCAGTGTCAGGTTGGCCTGGTTTGATGACACTAGGCCCCAAGTTTCTCCCACTAACCACCTGATTCTGAGTCTATGCTCTCCGAGCAACTTTCTCCTAGTTTGGCCTCTGTTGGGACAGAAAGTGCTAATCAACAGACACAAGGCGGGACTTCCCTGGTGGCGCAGTGGTTCAGAATCCGCCTGCCAGTGCAGGCGACACGGGTTTGAGCCCTGGTCTGGGAAGATCCCACATGCTGCAGAGCAACTAAGCCTGCGTGCCACAACTACTGAGCTCGCGTGCCACAACTACTGAAGCCCATGCACCTAGAGCCCGTGCTCCACAACAAGAGAAGCCACCGCAATGAAAAGCCCGTGCACCACTAGGAGTGGCCCCCACTCACTGCAACTAGAGAAAGCCCGCGTGCAGCAACAAAGACCCAATGCAGCCAAAAATAAATAAATAAATTTGTTTAACAAAACAAAACACCACAGACACAAGGGTCTGATCACTTAAGCAAGTGGATGTTCTCACTACATGTTGGCTTTCTGATTATAATTTGGTTTTCTATACAGAAGAGTCCGCAAGGAAAGAACGCCCTACTCAGCAAACAGGAATATCCTGGTTTTCATTAGTAATTTTGTATCTCAATATAACTTAAGATATTGGCATTTGGGGGTCTCGTATATAGGTCTTTCTGAGATCCTGAGAAACAGATCCATTTAGTTCTGACAAATTAGGTCTGTGAACCTACGAGGGTGAACACCCTCCCTGGCCTTTAATGCCAATGTGGGTGACCAAACAATCTTTCCCAATCTTCTCTAGCCTCAATGCCTCCAAACACCTCTCTAGCCTCCAAACACCTCTGCATTCGGAGCCTTCCCTTTTCTTCAAACTGCAACCCTATGTACACTGGAAAGGTCTCAGGAAACCCTCTGCAGTTGGAAAACAGGGCTCTCCAATGAGACCAGTAAGGTACTTTTTAAAAACTATGGCTTTGGGACTTCCCTGGTGGTCCAGTGGTTAAGACTCCATGCTTCCAGTGCAGGGGGCGAGGGTTCGATCCCCGGCTGGGAAACTAAGATTCCACATGCCATGTGGCACTGCTATAAACAAACAAACAAACAAACTATGGCTTTATTGAGACTGTATTCAGCCCAGGGTTAAGGTTACAGGAAGAGGAAGGAGGAGAAACATTTATTTTCTTCTTCCTACTTTCTTTCTTTTTTTTCAATGGAACGCTTCATGAATTTGCGTGTCATCCACACACAGGAGCCATGCTAATCTTCTCTGTATCGTTCCGGTTTTAGTACATGTGCTACTAAAGCAAGTGTCTCTTCCTACTTTCACTCACAGACCCAGTCCCATCTTACCCCCTCCTCATGTCCCAAGTCATGAGCATCAGGGGAAAAGAAACAGAGAGAAAAAAGGTAAGAGGATAGAAAGAGCTGATAATAAGTAGAGTTTTCCACAGCCAACTTCATTCCACTGAGGACAAGGTTAGAGCCTTCCAAAAGGCATGTGGAGTTTCACTCCACACTCCTTTATCCATCTCACCTCAAACTCTGATCTACTTAGGCCAACCTAAGAGTTTGAACTGATAATCTTTCTCCCACCAGCCCCCAGAGGGAACTAGACATAGCCTTCCTTGTTTATATCTCTTTTTAAAAGAGCAATGGCTAACTGAACAGATCTAAGATTCGAGACATTCATTCTGGGCTTCCCTGGCGGCGCAGTGGTTAAGAATCCCCCTGCCAGTGCAGGGGACATGGGTTCGATCCCTCATCCGGGAAGATCCCACATGCTGTGGAGCAATTAAGCCCGTGCGCCACAACTACTGAGCCTGCGCTCTAGAGGCTGCCAGCCACAACTACTGAAGCCTGTGCACCTAGAGCCCGTGCTCTGCAACAAGAGAAGCCACTGCAGTGAGAAGCCCGTGCACCGCAACGAAGAGTAACCCCCCCTCACCGCAGCTAGACAAACCCCGCATGCAGCAACGAAGACCCAACGCAGCCAAAAATAAAATAAATAAATTTATATATAAAAAAGAAGACATTCTTTCTGTAATGAAGCTGGGGTGTGACTGTGAAGTCAGCACCCATTGAAGAAGCCAGCCTCCTCTCCCCTGCTCCTTGCCTCTCCTCTTCACGGAGTATTTAGAAATTACATTTTTCTTCTTTTGGCCAAGGATCAGAAGATGCGAATGAACATGTGGTGTCTAGAAAAATGCCCATGTCAGCTGCAGCATACTCTCCCCAGAATTACAGAGGACAGTGGCATCTCTCAGTTGGCACAAGCTGTGTACCCAGAACCCCGCCCCAGGCATGCAGCAGTCCACCCTATCCATTTGCCTCCTTTATGCCAAGTTGGCTAAGGTTCTTACGACACATGCTCAATGCAACTCTCTTACACATCAAGAAAATTCATCTTTGGCCCTAGACCAGACACACCCAGCCACTGTGCACACTTTTTTTTTTTTTTTTTTTGCGGTACGCGGGCCTCTCACTGTTGTGGCCTCTCCCGTTGCGGAGCACAGGCTCCGGACGTGCAGGCTCAGCGGCCATGGCTCACGGGCCCAGCCGCTCTGCGGCATGTGGGATCTTCCCGGACTGGGGCACGAACCTGTGTCCCCTGCATCGGCAGGCGGACTCTCAACCACTGCACCACCAGGGAAGCCCCCACAGTGTCTTTTAAGGAAGTGTGTATGTGCCTCTTTTCCAAGAATTGAACAGCTTCCTGCCTGCTGATTAGGGAATAGTGATGTTTGCATTTTCAGCTACAGCAATAAAACTCTAAGCATTACACACCCCAGGTCCCACCAATGACTGTGCATCTCCTGATACAAGGTTCTTGAACCTGTATAGGACTGAAGAGAGCAATGACCCTGTGATCTAGACTTCAGTCATTCCCAAAGTCAACGGGATAAGGACCACATGTATCTTCCTCATCAGATACAATCTAGGGAGTGCCAGGTCCCAACAAGTAAGAGAAGTGTAAGCGGAGGCTGGCAGGCAGACTGTGCCAACAAATGTAGACTGGCTGGGGGAAAAGCTACTTAGCTCACAGTCGACTTCCAGGGGACCTCTAGAGGCCCCCCGCTAGAATCCCAGAATGTCTAGAGTAGAAAGTTCTCTGTGAAGGTTCAAATCTTTCCTTTCTAGAAACTCCAGATAGGAGACTAGGGAAGATTAAGAGAATAATTCCAGTCCTAATCCCACCTTCAACTATAGAACATGCTGGTCTAGGAAGTTCCCTAGTGGTCTGCTAATTAGGACTCAGCGCTTTCACTGCCAAGGTCTGGGTTCAATCCCTGGTCAAGGAACTGAGATCCCACAAGCAACATGGTGCAGCCAAAAAAAACAAAAACAACAAAAAGACCACCAAACCATGCACCATGCTGGTCTAGTGGAAGCCACTGATTCAGGGCTCGGACTGCAGGTGTTATATAACATACTTGGGGGCTAGCTGTTTCTAAATCCTTTGTCATCAAACATTGGGCTTATTTCAACTTTTCCCCAACAACATCAGGGTTTTCTTTGCTATGTTTCCTTGGTGTCTAGGTCTGGCCCTTCTCCAGCGAAGGAAGGTCACCCTGCAAGGCCCCTTCTTATGACTGCCTCTCTCAAAAGTCCCTGGGCCTCACTGCTGCTTTTCAAGCCAAACATGAATACATCCTATTAAAACTGGAAATTTCAGTATCTAACAATAAGGGAGTAGCTTAAAAAGATCCCAGTACATTCATACAATGGAATACTATGCAACTATTAATAAATTTTAAACAATAGACTATATGTAGTGACAGAGAAAAAGTTTCCCATTTACTAAGTAAAAATGAACAATTTAATAATTAGTATGATTTGACCCAAAATCTGGCTGAAAAACGTGTCTGGAGACTTTATATACACGTGTATATGAAAGCATTTTAAAAAAGGATTAGAAAGACACTAAAATGTTAACAGTGACTAGAAATGAAAGGATCATGGGTGATTATCTTCTTGTTTATATGTATTCTCCAAGACAGAGGACATTACTTTTGTAATCAGTAAAAACCAAAATTATCATACCATCCTCAAATAGGAGGGATTGGTTCTATGCCATCTTGGGCCATGGCTACTTGGTGGCTCCCACCCAGCTGGCTGCCAAATTGCACTAGACAACACTGGCACTCACCACCGGCCTGAAGGGAGGCCCCAAGCTCATCCTTCCACTGGCTTAATCTGGAAAATGAAGGTGGGACACAAAACCCCAATTCACTGCCACCCCTGGGCCTACTTGACCACACCCTCCATCCACCCTGGGGCCCAAATTCCAGCTCTGCACTCACCTGTTCTGCAATAAGGGTAGGCATTCCATGCTTTTTCATGTATATTCAGGGCTCCCTCCGGGGCCAGCATTCGAACAAATGTGGGCACTTTGCTGTAGTGAGAAAAGGGTTACGAAGAGAAACAGAGGAGAGAGTTAGAAGACAATGGGCTAAGGACTTCCCTGGTGGCACAGAGGTTAAGAATCTGCCTGCCAAGGCAGGGGACATGGGTTCAAGCCCCGGTCCGGGAAGATCCCACATGCCGTGGAGCAACTAAGCCCGTGCACCACAACTACTGAGCCTGATCACCTAGAGCCCGTGCTCTGCAATAAGAGAAGCCACCACAATGAGAAGCCCGCGCACCACGACGAAGAGTAGCCCCCACTCTCCACAACTAGAGAAAGCCCGTGCGCAGCAACAAAGACCCAACACAGCCAAAAATAAATAAATAAATAATTAAAAAAAAAAAAAAAAAAAAAAAAGAAGACGACAATGGGCTTCTACTGCACATTCTCCAGGCTGCAGCTCCAGCTTCTTTGTGGGGAGTTGACACGCAAGTTCCCCTCAGACCAGCTCAGCTGGCTACTAACATCCACCCGCAACTTGGCCCCCTACCCGCCAGGAACAGGACAGCAGGTGAGGCCCCGGGCTACCGGCCACGGCTTATCAGTCCTTACGCTATCATTACGCACTCTTCCAGAGCTCACTGGGCCCAGGGCATGGTACTACACGTTGCAAGGATGAGATGTCTTCAAGAGTGGACCACAGTGACTGGCTGACTAACCTGGAATATGGGATCCAAGATGACTAGATCTCCTAGGGTCAGTTCTGGGCAGCCAGGAGGGCCTCAGGGCCATCTGCCTCCCAGGACAAAATATTTTCTTCCATTCAATTCTTATCTCAGGTTACAGAGCAGCAGGTACCGTATGAGCTCTTTTTGTTTCTTTTGTTTAAAAAAAGGTATGTGTATTCCTCTGCCTCAGCTTTTAACTGGTAATCTACGCAGTCTTCGCAGGCTCCAACAACCTCATCAGCTTAGTGCCTGAGGCCTAAGAAAAAGAGCTACCTCCAGGACACAGCTAGCTGGGAACACACAGAGCAGCCCACTGAGATCCACTCACTCTTGGCCACACTCATTCAGGTAAGTATTTCTATGAGTTAGGCACCAGGATGCATGTAGGAATCACACAGACATGGCTCCTGCCCTCAGGGAGCTTCCGTTCTAGTGAGGAGTGGAACTAACCAGGCAGAGCACTGTGAGAACAGGGTGCATGGGGAGGCTCCCCAGGGAAAGGAAGGTTTACACAGAGTAGCGAGTGGGTAGGACTGAGCTAGACAAGAGGACGGAAGTGGGGTGGGAAAAGCTGGGGGGAAGAGAGAGAAGTTCAGAGTAGCTGGTGTAAGGTATGAGGTGGGGAATACAGGAGAACAAGCAGAGGCTGGGTCATAAAAGATCTTGTAGCTGCATCAAAGAGGATGGACTTTATCCCGAGGGCAAAGGGCCATCTATAGCTTCTAAGCTAGGGAGCAACAGATCTTCTTCTGGACAGAACGCTTGGAGCTGTGCGGAGAAGTGGAAAGCATGGAGACCAGTTAGGAGCTGCTGTGGTAATCCAGACAAGAGATGATGGAAGGAAATGGAAACGCTGGAGATAACCAAGGAGATGAACTCAAAAGGACTTGATGAGGGACTTCCCTGGTGGTCCAGTGCTAAAGAATCCGCCTTACAATACAGGGGACACAGGTTCGATCTGTGGTCAGGGAACTAAGATCCCACATGCCGTGGGGCAACTAAGCCCACGCACCACAACTACTGAGCTCCTGAGCCTCAAATAGAGAGCCCGTGTGCGGCAAACTACAGAGCCCACATGCTCTGGAACCCACACGCCACAACTAGAGAGAGAAAAACCTGCACGCCGCAACTAGAGAGAAGCTCGTGTGCCGCAGTGAAAGATCCCGCATGCCTCAATAAAGATCCCACGTGACGCAACTAAGACCCGATGCAGCCAAAAATAAAATTAAATAAA